TATAAGAAATTTTAAATTTCGATATGAATATATTATTGGTGTATTAGAGAAATATAGTAAAAGAAAAGGCTTCTTATGCATAATCCGATTGACACGGTTCCTTGTTACTTGTGTTTAAATTTCAAAAGCTTGGCCTAATTTGAAAACCATTTCCCCTTTATTGTCCCTAACTATTCTTTTGTTAACTCGAAACATGCGCTAAACATGACCTTTTAGCTTAAATGTTATGTAACAAAGTGTGCACTATTTGCCGTATTAGAAGCTTTCGGTCACAAGGACTCGAGCCCGCACTTTCATACATAGTGCAATGTGAATGAGCGTATTCTTTGTCATACATCATTTATCTAACTAGATTTTTTAATAGAATATTTTCCAGTGCCGATAGTCAGTTGTTTATTTATTACTTTTTAATAACATAATTAGTAATGAATCTATTACATTGATATTATCTGATAACTGCAAGCAGGCAGTCTCTCAGTAGACACGAGCACTGTTATTTACCCTTTATGTTGTTTCCTGTACTGTAGATAACTTCATTTGAAAATAGTGAGAGCTGAAGGAAGGAACATTTAGGTATCTTGTTGACAAAATTGAACAGTGCTGTATTAATATTCTTATTATACATTATGTAGTTGTATGATGTACAAAATAACAGAATCCAGTACAAATGAAGTAATAACATATCTATGTTTTCCCGGTGATTTGAAATAACATAATATTTGAGAAATTCGTTTTCGCTAACATTTGCTTTGCATTTTAACAAATAGTTTCGATTACTTATTGTATGATGTTGACATATTGTTAAAAATATAATTCGTTCAAAGTAGTTAATTTAGTAGATCTCTTAATTGTTATTGTTATTTATTCTGGTGTATATTATATCGTCAGCGTTGACGCATTTATTAACTTAATTATAACTTTAAAGAGAATCTTATATGTTAATAGTCGTTTTTGCTTCGTAGACTGTTTTATTTATATTTAAACAAATTGAATTTAATCAGTATTAGTGCGCCATTGCTTTGCTTTAGTTAATAAACCTTCAATATAGAGATGTAACAATTCTGAACTTCTCATCACAATTGTTTTAGTAACTTTATTCTATTGTTTTAAATTAACAGCAGCTTGCTAGGAGCGTTCGCGCCGTGTGTCCGGCTCACACGAGCGACTCTATGCGTTTGGATTGTCTTTAGTTTTAAGTAATTGTTAAACAGTACAACTAATGTTATAGTGTGTCTAAAGTTTATTGACATGTCATTGTAGTGAAAATACAAAATTTTAATGCACTTTTATATCGATTAAATTGAAGCACCAAATTATATCGGCTAGTTGAGGTCCTGTCCGGGCCTGTCCGCTCCGACCCAGGTCCCTTCTCAGTAAAGTTCCTTTTTGATCCGAGTCGCTTTATTTGCACTTCTTATCGGCCGCTAAAACGAAACTATAAAATTTATACACTGATATTGTGATACGTACGATGGTAACCTTTCAGACTCTTTACAAACGTGGACCGCTCGCGGGTTTTTAACGATATCTAACTAATGTTTATCTCATTATACCTTAACAGTTTATTATTGTTGACTGTTAACTCGTCTAAGATGTGTGGTGGAGTGCGGGGCGGGGGCGGGGGCGGGGGCGCGGCGACCGCATACTCCTCTGT